TAAATAATTCTAATTTTTATTAATACAGTAAAATCTCTCATATCCGGAATCCCTCATATCCGGAATCTCTCATATCCGGAATCCCGCATATCCGGAATCCCTCATATCCGGAATCCCGCATATCCGGAATCCCGCATATCCGGACATGATTTTGATGCATATATTTGATCTATTTGGGTGATATGTAACTGATTTGAAATTTCTGTTTTTCAGGAAATTTACTTTGGATAATTGCTTATGCTTATTTCACCCTAATGGCTTGTATTGGTGTAAAAGATGATGGGAATAAGAGGAAAAGAACAATTTTGGAGTTATTGCAAAAAGTGGAAATTTTAAACAGACTAGACGCTGGTGAAAGTTCATTGTAACTACTGACTGAATTCAACATAGGAAAGTCAACATTGTATGATATAAAATCTTCTAAAGAAACTGTCATCCAGCGTTCACACTCTCACAATGAACAAAGAAATAAAAATATGATTGTGATGAAACCTGGACTGAAATTGAAAAAGCTATTGAAAAGATTGTTAGTTTTATGGAAAGACAGCTAGCATTCAGATATGACGATTGCGATAACCCACGCAAAGTGAAAAAGTGCCTTTTATTTAAAAAAAAATTTCAAGAACAAAAGCAAAACGAAAAAATGGAAAAAGTTGAGAATGACATTAAAAGAGAAAGAATCATCATGCAACAGCGATTAAAAAAAAATCGTCATTACATTATTTATTTTGCATACGTGGCATACTTAATTTAATGAATTTTCATTAACATTACATAATTTATTTCTTTTTCCTTAAAATCAATTCCGTTATATTTAACTCACCATTTAGCTTATTTTGTTTATTATAAAACACTGAAAATAAATGTTAAACCTGATTTCAGTTCTTTTATTTTAATCTAAATATGACACCTCATATCCGAACTTTGTAACCAATTCCTCATATCCAGAAGGTCTTCTTAGTCCTATTTGTCAGGGATTCTACTGTATTTTAATTTGCAACATATATTGACGTTATACTACAGTTATTTTGCCTTTAATGTTAGTGGGAATCTGAGAATCTTTTTCTGATTGATTTTATTTAGAGAAAATCATTTGTATTCAGTGTAATTTTTTTCTGTCTTTTCAGGGCGTAAGCGATCATAGCTCTCTACAGCCTCCTATCCTTTGTGTTCTTTAGATACTTTATCCAGACTGTCGCCCATCGTTCCACCATCCATTCACTCAAACTTTCCAGGGAAATCGCTCCTTTGACTTCTCCTGTTCTTTTTGCTTACGTTATGACTTGTGAGTGTCAAATTTTCTAAGTCATCCTTCCTAATTATGTGTCAAGATGTTCAGCTGTCTCTTTCTAATTCTAAGTATATACGTCCGTTCTGTTTCCATTTTCCTAGAGATTTCATCGCTGTTTAAGCGCTCCATCCGTTGAATTCTCAGCAACCTTCTGCAGAACCACAGTTCTGATAACTCCAGTTTTCTTAAAATCTGTGACGAGAGTGTCTCGCATTCACTGCTATACAAGATACTTGATAATAAATAGGCGTTCAACACTCTTTTCTTTTTCTCTAACGTAATTTTCCTTTTACTTAATACTTTGCTTAGCTTCCGGAATTATGTATTTCTCTAATCCAATATCCCTTTGGATTTCGGAATCGATTTTCCACCCTCTGCTAAAACACTTCAAGATGTTTAAACTGCTGTTCTTGTTTCATGTTGAAATCTCCAATTTGTAACTGGCATCTTTGGCTTTTTCTCTTGCTGATGACCATACTTTCTGTCTCCTTAAAGTTGATAGTTAGTCTTTTCTTCTCACTCTCCTGAACTACCTCGTCTCGGAGATCATGTAGTTTTCTTAGTGTCAACAATCAACAGTCATCTGCGTATCTTATATTGTTAAGATTACACACCCACCTCGATGATAAATCCTGATAGAATCTCCAGCTTCCTTAGGATAAACCCGCTGTAAAGGCTGAACAGATCTGGAGAGAAGACACATACCTGTCTTATACCGCTTTCTATTTTAGTTCACCTAAATAGTTCGTTTTCTGAAAATATCCTTAAAACCCGACAATTATTTGATTTTTACAAAAATTTCCAGATCAATGTATTTTTCACCTGAACAAAAAAGGCGCTAAAACATTAATCATAAATAAAAAACTAGATTTTCAACCAAAGTTTCAAACGTGATAAAAAGGATTAAAGCATTTAATAAAATAATTAAAAAATACTTCTGTCTTTCCTTTTAATAAAAATATAAACATTTTGCCGATAAAACTTTGTTTATATTAAGTGTATGGCCTTCTTATCATGCTTTTATGTTTCAGCGACAAAATGGCGTTGCCTATTGTATAATTAAAAAAAAATGGAAAAACTTTTACTTTTATTGATTCGAGGTGATGTCATTTGAATTTGAAAAAATGTCGCTTAATGAATTTTAGTTTTTTCAAAAGCGGAAGCTGATATATTTAAAGTCGAAAATCTCTATATTTAATGTCCATGGTGGGAAATGATTACAAGTTGCATTCAAAAACAATTGGCTTACGGCCGTATCACATTGTAACATTGGTTCCTCTACTAACAACGAAATTAAGCAACTTTTTGTTCGGTTGGTTGGTTGTTTTTTTAAGGGCATATCAACTCTTTATTGGTCATTTAATGCCAAAAATTATTTTTCTTAGGAGCTTTGAAATAATAAAAAATATGATATATGTTATTCTGCTTTCACAATTGAATACATGGTAGATGATACTTAGCTTTTGTACGTATACATATGTGTGTGGACATGGTTACTAGAAGCGACGATGTGTGTGTTTTATGTCGTAATTTTGTTGAAGTTATATTGGGAATATAGTTTGATGGATTAATGTCCCAAAAGAGTTTTCGGGGAACATAAGGGTTAATCCAAGAATTAAATAAGTTCTGACTGTAGGGATCGGCGAACCATCTTCTTTAGTGTCGGATTCTCAAAGCCTCGATGTCGTGTTTAGTAGCTGAGCAATCGACCGATTTTAAAGTCTGATAAAGTGAAAGTAAAATAATGAAAAAAAAGAGAACTACGGCAATCAAATCGGTTCCATTGTTTCATTCAGTTTTCAAAAGTTGGGCAAAGTCGATTCATTTTCAGTTTATTTTGAAAGCGCAGGGGGTGCGGTGGAGATGAAAAAAATATAAACTGTTATCCGGTCGCGATAAAAAGAATCTAAAAAAATTCTTACACTTCTTTTTTGTTTCTTTATCTCATTTTCACTTGTTTTTATATTCTACTTCCACAAATGTTGTCGCTTATGTGGCTTTTCGAGAGTTTATAAATGAAATTTATCATAATTTCTGCTTTTACTTGAATTCACTTTTCTTTGAATTGACCTTTTTCTCCTCGACTTCTTCGCACTCTCTCTATCTCGCTGTATATATATATATATATATATATATATAAGGAGTGTGTATGCGTGCGTACGTGTGTGTGTGTGTGAGAGAGAGAGAGAGAGAAAACGTTTACTTCCTTTTATAAATGCTTGTTGCAAAATAAAATCGAAAATAAAACAATTTTTTTTTTATGTGTTCTTTCCTTTGGTCACATAGCAAACTTTCTTTTGGTTGCAGCAATATTTTTAATTTTCGTTCATATATATATATATATATATATATATATATTATAAATTAATTGATTTAAAATATGGTTATTTTCGCTACACAGTTCCAACCATGTTTCAAAAATAGAAGCTAAAAACCCCTAATTTTATTTTTGCAAATAAATTAAAAGCATTAGTTCCATTTCATCTTCAAGCGAATTTTGGAGTAACTTTTAAAATATTAATGCCCTGTAAATATATTTTGGAGTAACTTTTAAAATATTAATGCTCTGTAAATTTACATTGAGCACTATTTTGTAAAAATAAAATATCTATAAGAACACCGGATTTTATATCTTACTGTTCTTTTTTTTTATTTATATACATATATATATATATATATATATATATATATATATATATATATATATATATATATACTTGGTGGGGGGCAAAAAATTTCAAATCTTCTTATTGATAACTGCATTTCTTTCATGGCATCTGACTGTTCAAAGCAGATTCCAAAAGTAAATGTAGCGACTTCTCTTGAAAATGGACGAAATTTGGCATGATGGCATTATCATGGGTCTGCAGGATATATATATATATATATATATATATATATATATATATATATATATATATATATATAGTCATTTCATCCTCCTCTCAAAATTATCCTTTTCTATTTCAGTTAGATAAGTTTCTTTACAAATTTATCACGAGAAAAAACAAAGAGGGGAAATTAAAATTCTAAAAGGTCTTCCTATCTGGAGAATCAGCATTTGATATATTTACATGTTAACCATATTTCAACAGTGATAGTGATAGCAGTTATGCGGCTACCTAATCTTCCAACTAAGCCATTTTATTTATTCTAACTTTATCTGGCACAGGGTGAGTTCACTGGGAATTAAATTAAAAATGTTTTCATGCTTTGAAAAAAAACTAGATTTAATTCGCATCGAACTCTAAACTCTAGCCCTAGAATGAAATGCACAATTATTTTAATTATATGAGTTTATCTACTACAAGATAACAACAAGGAAAAAAAACGAGATTGTGTAACTCCAACCGTTAAAAGGGGAGAGATTTGGCTTGAAAATGTTCAAAGACTCATTTAGTAATCCTTTCTACCTTACAAAAGATGGATAGATAGATAATGAAGGGAGTGTTGTCATAGATAATGAAGAGACTGAGATAATGTTATATACCCTAGCTATAAACACTAATGGATATGTCCCAGTCCTCATAAATACGTTGGGCACTATTGTAGGTTGTGGGGGGGAGTAATATGCTAAGTAGTGCACCACTAGAAGTGGTTTACCTACTTCACGCCGCTGGCGAGCATTGTATTTTGTCAATTATGTAAAGATTACCATTTCATTTCCAACCTCCGTTTTGGTTGTTGCTCGTGCAGTAACCCTTTCTAGGTTACAACACTTTGTTTTTCCTTCATTATCTATCTATCTATCTATCTATCTATCTATCTATCTATCTATCTATCTATCTATTAAAGACATTTTTATGTTTAACATTCTTTTTATAGATACAAGTATTAAGTAAATGCTCTCTTTAAATAAACAGTATTAAATAACATTTACCGGCCTGAATGCCTGAGAAATTTTCATAGAAAATATTCGTCCTTTGACAGGATAAATTCGACCTTGCCTACCGAACGCTCCTTTGTGGCCGAGTCGGTTAAGGCACGTCAGTGTAAATGACGGTTCCGTATAGGATGCAGGTTTGAATCCTGTCAAAGGACGAATATTTTCTATGAAAATTTCTCGGGCATTCAGGCCGGTAAATGTTATTTAATACTGTTTATTATAAACAGAGCATTTGCTTAAATACTTGTATCTATAAAAAGAATGTTAAACATAAAAATGTCTTTAATAATTTGTCGGACTTTGTCCAAATCTTTATCTCTCTCTCTCTCTTCTTTTCTATATTATTGATTTTTCTCTTTTCCTCTTAGACGTTCTTCTCACTTTTAGTTTTTTGTTTTTAATTTTTTAATCAATTCAACCCAACAAGGCGATAATGCCACTAAGACGCGATTGGCTAATAGGAGTAAAAGAGAATAAAAGAAAACTTTAGAAGGAACCGGAAATCCAATGTTAAACAGAAAAAAGGGATAAATTCCTAACGTTCTTTTTTTCTCTCCTCTTCTTTTTCTTCTCATTTCGATAGGATTCATTTATTTTTTTGCTTTTCTTGGTCTCTCTTTCTATATATCTTTTCCATTCTCTATTCTCCCTTACTTTTTTCTTTCTTACTCTTACCTTTCTATCTATCACTTTCCTATCTCTCCATCTCTCTCTTTCTCTCGCTTCCCTTTTCTTTTACTACTTTCAGTTCCCTTTCTTCCTCTATTTTCGAACTTTCTCTTTGCCACCTCCCTCCCTTCATTGTCCCTTCAATATATGTCTTTCTTTCATTATTCTTATATTCTCTCTCACTACTCTGTTTTCTCTCTCTCTCTCTCTCTCTCTTCTTCTCCTTCTTCTTCTTCTTCTTCTTCTTCTTCTTCTTCTTCTTTATTTTCTTTTTCCTACCTCCTCTCTCTCTTCTTCTTTCAATTTCCTTCACTTTTGGCCCCTATCACCCAGTTTCTCTTTCTCCATCTCTCTTCTCTTGTCTCCTCTCCCTTTCACTTTCCTTTTTTCCACACTTATTCTTGTCTTCCTTCTTTCTCTTCTTCTCTCCTTTTTCCCACCCACTCTTTCTCTCGCTCTATTCCCTTTTCCACCTATCTCTCTCTTCTCTTCCCCTTTCTCTTTGCCACTCTCTTTCAGTTTTGCTCGCACTCTTAAACACTCACTCTTTTAGCTTTCCCTCCCCCTCTTCTCGTTGTATTTCTTCCTCACACACTCTTCTCGTTTTTTCTTTCTCCTCCTTTTTCTCTTTTCTCCACTATTTTTCTTTTATACCCTCACCCTTCCCCTTTTTCTCTGCATCACCCTTCTCTCTCCCTCTCTCTCTCTCTATTCGCTTTTAGCCACACCCATTCTCTTTGCCCCCCTCGAACTTTAGATTTTCCCTCATTTTCCTTTTAACTCACACTTCTGCCTTTCCCTTTCTCTTCTCCCTTTAACCCCCTCCTATTCATTTCTCCTTCTTTCTCTCATGCTCATTCTCCCTTATTCTCCTGATTTCTTTTCACTGGCAATATTCTTCCAATCACTTTTTACGCTATTTGTCTATGATTTTATCTTATCTATCTTCGCCTCCCCTATTTTCTCTTGTTTTTATTTCTGTATTGTAACCCTAATTCTTTTATTCTTTGTGTATCCAAAATGGCGTCTCTTTTATTGTCGAGGATTCTTATGAAGAATCGAAATATTTTTTACTCCGCATTCGGCCGGGATGGACTGTAAACAAAGACTACAATGAAAGTCAAAGACAGAAAAAAAATGTTAATAAAGGAGAGAGAATTATAAAATGCTTCTGTTTTTTTGTTTTTTTGATAATCCTGCAATGGTTTCAATGTTTATTTCATTTTTCGTAATACAATTTCGTCAATATAACAACAACACTTAAAATAGTCACAAAAGATTTCTATGGCGTTGGCTGGCGAAAGAAAAAAACCAGAAGCGACTCAGACGGAGAGCAACGGTTAGTAACTAAATCGAGAGCACTCGAGTTATTCAATTTAATGTCGATCCTCACTGAGTGTTCTATATATATATATATATATATATATATATATATATATATATATATATATATATATATATAGTTATATATTTATATAAGTAGGTTAAGTCTAAATAGGATAGATAGATATGAATATGAATAGTCTGAGATAGATAGATAGATAGATAGATAGATAGATAGAGATAGATAGATAGATAGAATAGTCTGAATAGATCTGAGATAGATAGATAGATAGATAGATAGATAGATAGATGAAATAGATAGATATGTGATAGAGAGAGAAAGACAGCAAGAGAATATAAATAAATATATTTGAATAGAAAGTGATATATAGGGAGAAGACAGAGAAAAAGAGAAGATAGATAGATAGATAGATATGAAAAGAAAAAAACAAACAAAAACTAAGCTCACACTCATTTCACACAGATAAAGCTCTTCGTAATATCTAGCCTGTACTTGTGAGTACATTTTTACAAAAAATTCTTTAAGGCATGGGCTGTCAGGAATCCCTTCAATGAGTCTATCGGGTCTTTTTCCAATCAATCCGAGGTTCGAACTCCAACTGGAATTATGGATGTCCTCATGTTCCACATTCTTGAGATTTCCACTTCAAGATCCATGTGATTTAACAGTTTTTTTTGTTTTTTTTGTTTTTGTAGATCTTCAAAGATACATTACAATCTGCACGGACTGCCATATCAATAAGAAAGCACATTCTGTTTTTGTGGTCTTAGATCACGATGGCTGGGGAATTAACTTTGGTTGTTCTGTCTGTGTGTATTGTAAAGTCCCATAAAATCGTTACAGGTCCTCACTCTGTAACCGGGTCAGCGTGATATTCATACCAGTTTCTTGAAGCTTCCTTCCCATAAAAGTTGCATATTTCCCAGTGCAGATATTGGCCCACTCTATCATGTGCGTTTTATATTCAGTGGGTGCTAACACTGTACAAACTGATTTGTTTCAAATATACACATCAAAATCCTGTCCGGATATGGGGCACTCCGGATATGAGCCACTCCAGATATCAGACACTCTGGATATGAGGCACTCAGGATATGAGGGATTCCAGATATGCTGCACTCCAGATATGAGGCACTGTGTGTGAGCCACTGCGAAAAGAAAAACTCCAGATATGAGCCACTCCGTATATGAGGCATTCTGGATATGAGGTACCCCATATATGAGCCAATACGGATATGAGGCACTCTGGATATGAGCCACACCGGATATGAGGAACTCCGGATATGAGGGATTCCAGATATGAGACACTCCGGATATGAGGCACTACGGATATGAGGAATTCCGGATATGAAGCACTCCGGATATGAGGCACTCCGGATATGAGAGATTCCGGATATGAGAGATTCTGGATATGAGCCACTCCGGATTTGAGGCACTCCGGATATGAACCATTCCGGATATGAAGCACTCCAGATATGAGGCATTCTGGATATGAGAGATTCCGGATATGAGCCACTCCGGATATGAGGGATTCCGGATATGATGAATTCTATTGTACTTAGCAGATCAAATCCTAGTTTTTGAATTGAATGCAATGTTGATTTTCTAAATTAAGTGGAAATCAACCTGCCCTACTAATCATGCGTGGTATCTAAGATCAAATTGGGGACAGACTGACATACCTTAGTATTTATACGCCAATGATAGCCTGCACAGTTGATTAAAGGAAAATGTTGTTCTCCATGACAACAAAAAGTTATATACAGTAACAGAGAAAACATTTTAAAACACAGGTTGGTCTGTTTTATCCCATCGACCAGATTCACGTGGCCTTGCAACAGCCGATTATTACCTTCCTTTTTTTTAGGTATATGCTGTGAAAATCTTTGATTAGGAAAAATTTATCTAATAAAAACCAGATTCAAAATTCGACGAAAATGTTTTTATTGTATCAGAAACTGCTTAAAAGGCATCGAAGGTCTGCCTGGTAAGTGACAACAAGTCATTTCAAATAATGGTGAATATAAACTGAATAAGATGTAATTGTACTTTATTCTTTTACGAATAAAGTTACTAAAGAAAAAAAGAAAGAAATTACTTATGACTTAATCTAACAGTTTATCTCTATCGTTACAAGATCAAGATCTGTCCAGTAATATAGTACTATTGTCATATTTGGGGCGGAGGCATCCTCAGACCGCACTGTCCAGTATCGATAGAGATCAAAAGCGCCTTGGGCACATCTACATGGTGCAATGGTTAGCAATCTTGTCTCGCTAGATCGATTACGACTGAATTGTGAGTTCGATCCTCGCTGGCTGCTGCAAACGTTCGGCCTTGTGACACATCTAGGAAAATCACCATATATGAGGATTGATATTACAAACAGTTGAACACTCTTCTTTTGTCGGCCTTGTGCCAGAATTTCTATAAACAGCAGAAATAAATAATGAGTTCAAAAGTGTCTCCTAGTCCTTTTGGATGCCGAATTGTTTTCCACCTTCCAACCTCTCTTCCCCAGGCGGGATGTGGCAAGTCACTTGATGCTACATCAGAAAGCACTGTAAAAAACCACCCACATTCCCTACGTATTCCAAGGTGACAAGTCAGTTTGATTCGAACAGCTTCTTCCCGTAGACCACTGCTCTTTGAAACCGACTCCCAAGAGGATGTTTCCCCGATCGCTACAATCTTAACCTGCTTAAATCTAAAGTTAACAGTTACCGTCAGTCCTAAACTACCCTTTAACGTAACCCCCTACCTCGAGTGTCCCTTGGGCCTTGTATATGGTGAACTTTACTGTATAAAAATTGATATTTTTTGTAAGACAATAAGAATAATCAGACATGAATTACTTTTTGGTTTCCCGTCACAACAGAGAATAAATTTCAGTTCTGTTGTGGACGACGAGGAAACATTTTTTGTTGTTTTTTCTTCCCGTGTGAGTTCGAATCTCTCGTCGCCAATTTGTTGTGGATTCCGAGATGAAATCCGGTCTTAAATGAATGACAAACGCAGGAATGAAATATAGCAAATAAATGTATTGACGTAATAACACAATTGGCAATACGGTTAGTAGATCCAGAAATTCGGTTAGTAGCAATAATAATATATATACAGTCTTGGAAATTAAGTATCGAAGTATGACTTCCTTCTGAGTCTACGTGCTCGCAACTGTGACTCCTACAAAGCGGTTACCTCACTCTCTCACTGTATCACTGTATCTGTGTATCTCTGTTACTCACTCTATCAGTGTATCTCTCTTTCTCCCGGGTATTCACTGGCAGCAGTACAAGTACACACTTGTCGAGTCCACTTGTATGAAAAAGGGGTGGACCCCATAACAGGTTCGATCACCATCGTTAGTCCACTAATATATTACGTGTTAGAGGACAACATTTACTAGCACCGGAGCAGCAGTGGACGGGTCTAGGGCGAAATAGACCATCGCTCTTCAGTTACGTTTTGAATTCAGACTTGCTGTCAACCAAGACAAAAGCGCTCTGTCTCCTCTGCAATTTATTCTATAGCTGGAAGGAAATTGATTCATACCTTCTCCAAGGGCATTAGTGCGAAAGTGAATGAAATAAACTCGATCAGAAATTGAAGTCAGTTCCAATGAAACAGCTTCTCGCGAACGACTGCTCTGTGGAACCGACTCCCAAGGGGGTGTTTCCCCGATCACTACAATCTTAACGTGTTCAAGTCTAGGGTTCAACCGTTACCTTCCAATACTATCCGTACAGTCTTGCTCCTTAACATAACCCTCTACCTCGAGTGGGCTTCCTATCTTGTACAGGATGAACCCTACTTTTTTTAAAAAAAAAATGGACGGCAGAGCAATGATGGTTGAAAGTTTTTTTTTTTTTTCTTTTTAAATCTGTTTGACCAGCAGAAAACGGAAAGTTGTATAGAGCCATGAACGCCTACACCCTGAAAGGACTTGTCACGTGAATGAAGGCTTCTGTCACATTTCATCTGATTTCATGTCAGTGCGGAAATGATTGCATCGGAATTCCCTTTTTCCTGATTTTGTTTGTTGGTTGGTTTTGAGGCTTGACATCAAAAGCGGAAAGAAACCACCCGCAAAGAAAACAATTTAAAATGTGACGGGGATTGGATTAAAAAGAAAACGGCTTCTCAGTGGAGCATCGACGGAGACAGCGGTGAAAGCATTACAGCACACCTCATATGCGTATCTCAGGAGAGTCGGGATCAGGTGATAAGAAGGGTCGAATACCACAAATGAGATGAAAGAGTGAGAAGAGAAACTCACGCATAGTCTTTGTATGTTAAACACACTCACACACAACATTTACTTACACACACACATACACAACATTTACTTACACACACACACACACACATATATATATA